TGTATTTATTTTTCTATTTTTTTCTTCAGGGTGATTTTTTTTCTTCTTCTTCATTAATGAGTCTGAATTATCCCATGTTTAAATTTGCTTTATGTTTGATTCTTAAATTTGGAGTGTAGTTATATTTCTCATGGTGTTCCCAATTGCTTTTTTTCTTGATTATCAAAGACACAGGTTTTTTTCTTACAATATCTATAACAACATCCATGTTTTTTATTGAAGTTTAATTGACATACAATACATATTACTTTCAGGTGTACAATATAGTGATTTGACACTTATATACATTGTGAAATAATCAGCACAAAAAGTTGTAGTTATCATCTGTCACCTTGAAAAATTAATGTGCATTATTGACTATATTCTCCATGCTCTTTATTACATCCCATGACTTTATTTTCTAACTGGAAGCTTATTCTTCTTGATCCAAAAAGAACCATCTCACATAATCATACCAAGTAGATAGATGAGTCCATACATAAATAGACAAAAGATGTTTGGTGTAATTTGTATGTACATATGTGTGTGTGTACATGTGTGTGAGCCAGCTCCCTAGATTTATTTGGTTTCTCTCAATTCTTACTCACTTTTTGTCTATGGACACATTTTGTTTGCTTTCCTCTGAATGCTTTATGAAAAATGAAGATCCTAAATCTGTATGTCTCAAACTCTGGTATGTTGAACTCAGTTGTGAAAAAATGTTACACCTATACATCAGAAAATGTACATAATGCAAAAACCATTTTATGTGTCTACTACCTCACCTGTAAAAATGTGAAATGCGAAAATGCCCATCAGAGGGTTGAGTACATGACAAGGAAGAGAAAAGATTGAGAACCCTTAATAGTGACACGTGGAAGTGCTTGGTAATAGGTTAGTGCTAATGAATTGGTAACATGTTACAGAGATACACTCTGTTTTAGTTAAAAGGATTTAGAGTATTTCTTGGCCCTAGAAACTTTAATCCTATAGTTGATATTGATAGGAACAATTATCTGAAGATAAAAAACAGAACAAATTCTCATTAAGTGCATGTTTAATTTAGGTAGAAGTTTGTCATTAAGCACGTACTTTGTTTCCTAAGAACATAGATTTGCATGATATTTTTAAAAATATTAAAGAGGAAATCCATCTGGTTAACAATTTAAAATTTCCCAGGAGCAATATTTAACAATATGATGTTTTAATGAATAAGAGAAATGCAGTGCATGTAATAAGACAAAGTTTTTGTATTTTTATCATTCAGCTGATACATAAACTTCATGACATGATGTATGTACAGTGCATTTAATACTGTATTTGATATATGTGCTGATATTTGCCTTTCTATAACCTCTGGCATTTCAGTCCAAGTTAATCATACAATGTCCCAGTGACAGGGCCACAAAATTAGACTTGACTCTATCACTGTTACAAATCCCCCAGAAACAAACTCCCCTATCACCTGCCAGTTTATAACCAACCTCTTTCTATCTCTGTCCTGCTGACAGTAAATCCCCTCACCAGCTAATTGAACAGATGCACCCAGTGCTTCCAGGAGATCCACAAAGCTGGGCTTTGATGGACAGCAGAAAGTGGAACAATGAAAAAACAAAAGCCTTTAAACTAAGAGCACTGCTTTGTTCTGCTTAAAACTTTAAGGTCACTCCAGCTCGTTCTGACTGTGGGGATCTTAATTTTTCCTCCACCAATTTGCTTGCAGCTGTCATTCCTGATATTAAAAGTTCAGCTCTTCAAGTGTGGGGAATTGGGGGGAGAGGGCGGGGAATGAGAAGAGCTTGTTACAAACTAAAAACAGCAAAAACAAGTAAAATCTGGCTTGGCTCTCAAGTACAAAAAGTTATTTTCAAAGCCTATAAATTATGACATAGTGATTAACATGTAATTTAAATATATTTAAACAACAATTATATCACATTTCCAGCCCAGCTAATTGGCCTCACAGATGTTCCCTTGTAGCTGCATTGCCCTTCCAGGGGGAAATGAATGAGGTGCTTTTTATCATGGAAAACAGAAAAAAAAAAGCAAATGAAAAAATGGAAACAGAAAAATAAAAAGCAGCCAGTAACCCTAAAAACAATGAATGCTTAAGGGACTTTGCTTAGCATTTTTTTTCCATTTTAATGCAGAAAACTAGGAAAAGCATGAAGACACTCCTATTACTGTGATGGTATCTGGCAGTATGTCCACATACAGTTTTGGCAGGTTGCTGATGGAAAGACTTGTCAAAGGAGAGACAGTGCCTGCATTCTAATATGGCAAGGCCTCTCTTCAATAGAGCTAGTTATTTTTAACACGATGTCTTTACAATTGAAGCCAGTCTAGCCCAGATAATGAATATATATAATAAAGTATTTCCTGATGAAGAATGACTTGCAAGTTGTTCCTTTGGTCATCTATGCCTCAAGTTTTATAAAATGCAAAATGTACAGCAATCAGTGCTGTTTCCTATGATGTGATTCTAGTCAAACATGAACCAATACAGCAATTGTTGGAAGGTAAGAGGCCAGAGGAACAGCAGTAATCACTAATATTTTGGAATATCTTTCTTACAGTATGTAATCTTAAAATTCAGATAAATTCACCACAGCTTCATTTTATTCTTGCAAATTTTCTTCTAATAATCTCAGGTAATATTTGATCATTCAGTGTAAATTGCAAAAGGCCAGTGGTCATGTCTCTCCTCGTGTCTAATGGTATCTCCAGCATCTTCCACAGTTCCTTTGCCTTCAATATTTGTTAAAGTCTTGCTCAATAATCAGGGTTTAATGATAGGCAAGACCAAGATAAAGTTCCACTAGACAGTTGTATTTTTCCCATACCATCCCTCTATTTTGTATATCACAGGCAGCAGATTCCTCTCATGTTTTATGAGCAAATATATTTAACTTAATTTCTAAAGGATAACAAAATATACCTATATTTAAGGTGATGTAGAAAAGAGGGAAACATTTTTTTTAATGTATCCTTGATGAGTAGCTCTGGCATTTTGATTGCTTGACTTTAAAAATCTGATTTAGTAGATGTGAATATTTAATTTTTTATATTCTCTACATTTGGATAGTAGTGCAGAGCTTACAAAGTCCATTTGGATAAACCATCTTACTTTGTATTCACTAAGAATAAGGTAGAGAGAGGTCGAGGATAAAAATGAGGGTCTGAGATGTTTCATGACTGACCACATCACTTGTGACTGGGACTGGGGCTCAGAGATCTAACAAATCATACAACAATGGTCCACTAGACAATACTACCTCCTATACGTAGTATATTAAATATCTCTCTAACTTTCCACATCGTGATCGTCAATACGTTTCTAGTTATGTCATTAGAGAAGGAAAGAGATTAATATTTTCTATATCATCATGTAAATGACTCCATTATGAGGAGAGTTGAAATGTAAGCTTAACGTAAGAGTTCACACCTTGTCCCTTGATTATTCCAGGACACCAAGTTAATTATAGGAAATTGTGTTATCCAGTTGTTATTAATTTACATTAAACAGTTAATCTCCATGGAACCGCATTACCCTTAGATTGTTTTATGAATCTCTAAATTGTAAAAACAATAATATTTAGCCAGGTTTCATACATGTATACAGAAAATGCAAGCTTCATAAGATCAATTGTTTTTACCAGCATTATTCATGATCTCCAGTGTCTAGAAAAGTGCCTAGTCTAGTAGGCTAAGGTTCTCAAAAAAAAAATGTATTTAATGGATATATATATTAAGAAATGGTGTTGATATTCACACAACACTGTCTATTTACCCTAAGGAATATTGTCCTTAATATTTTATCATATTTTTATATCCACTTTTATTTAACCCATAGGATGGAGTATTAAGCTCTAAGAGTACAGATGCCTTTTTTTTAATGTTTATTTTTTGAGAAAGAGACAGACAGAGCGGGGCAGGGGGTGGGCAGAGAGAGAGGGAGATACAGAATCCGAAGCAGGCTTCAGGTTCTGAGCTGTCAGTACAGAGTCCAGTGTGGGGCTTGAGCTCACAAACCATGAGATCATGACCTGAGCTGAAGCAGGATGCTTAACTGACTGAGCCACCCAAGAGCCCCAAATGCCTTTTGTTTTTTAACTGAAATCTAATTTTAATGGATTTTAAATACATGAAAATAATGTGCGTAAAGCATATTTCCAGGAAGGGCATTAAATTTTCAAGATTTCCTTCTGTATTTTTTTAAGTTACAAAAAATAAAACTTTTGAAGAGAAAATAGTGTGTACCTTTTAATTTTTTAGTGTATTTATTTAAATTCAAGTTAGTTAACATACCTTGTAGTATTGGTTTCAGGAGTAGAACCCAATGATTCATCACTTTCATATAACACCTAGTGCTCATTCCAACAAGTGCCCTCCTTAATGCCCATCACTGAGTTAGCCCATCCTGCCATCCACCCCCCCTCTAGGAACCCTTAACTTGTTCTCTATATTTTAAGAGTCTCATGCTTTGCTAGTATGCACCTTTTTAAATGGAAAGACTAAGAAGTTGACCCGTTGATGAAATGGTGAAAAATAAATGTAACTTGATAATAAAAATTATTCAAGAAAAATTGAAATTTGCTTCTATCTCCTTCTAGATAAGATTCTTTTTACAAGGGAAAACCAATGCTGTGGTATGTGGCCATTTCAGTCATAACATGTAAGGAAGGAGATGGTTCTTTATTTAAAACTATATTTATTTAATTATTTATCTTTCTTCTAGAGTTGACCAGAAAAATATGGTCAACATAGTTTTTAATCCATTTAAAAATTTTACTTTTTCTGTATAATTTTTCTTTCAGGAATTGAATTAAAAATATTTAATATTATCAAAACACATAAATAAACTCACATGTAGTCAGAATACATAAAAATTTTACCATTTAGCAAACTTCACTGTTGTGCATGTTTTCCTCTTTGGTTCATACAACTCATGTGGCTTTTTTTTTCTTTTCATTCATATTACTTCTTATTATATCCATCATTCCATTTTTCTTTCCCATTAGAGTGAAATTGGACACAGCCCTCCTCCTGCCTACACCCCCATGTCAGGAGTAAGTATTTCACAATCAACCTTCATCTTTTTGTATTTTTGGTCTTCACTTACCATGTTTCTTCTCTCGTGTCTCCCCATAATTTCTTCATTTTGCTTTTGCCAACAGTGAGTTAAGAATTTGCTGTAGATTGTGGCTTTGTGGATATGTTTTTCTCAGTAGATAATCCAAAGGTGAGATATCATGCATCAACAGTAGCTTTTGATTTTTACCTGAGGGATTTACCTGGACTCATAAATTGTGCTTCCAGTTGAAGAGGTTACTTCCCCCTCTCCTCCCCCATGATTATAGGTTGTGTGCTAAAAAGTCAGAGTCTCCGTGAAGATTCACTAGTTAGGTAGTTGGAGACTCTAAGTCAGAATGACCACAGAAGAGAAGGCAATAAGGAAATATTATCATCCCTTTGGCATCACTGTGCTTCTGTTCTTAATAGTGACTGTTGACAATTAATAGCATTTTCTTTTGTCATGAAATTTGAATTTTATATAAAAAATCGGCACCTGTGGGGAAATAACATGAAATACTTTTTATTAGGTCATTTGTTAAGTGGTCAGTAAAATTTAAATTTGTATATCCGAATTGTTTCCTCATGATTTTACATTAAAAAAAAATTTGGAACTTTAGGCGTTTATAACCCAAGCGTGTTAACCATTCAAGGAGAGAACTAAATTAAGACACTCTGACTTTTATCTAAAAGACAAGATTTCATGCCTTTTGGTTTTTTTTTTTTTTACAACTATTGCTAATAATAGCGGCCATCTAAATGTGTCTTTACCTACTATTGACAGAACCAGTTTGTATACCGAGACGGGGGGTTTGCTGCAGAGCAAGGCATTCCTGTGCCCTACAGAGCCACGACCAGCACAATCCCAGAAGCGCCAGTTGCTCAGGGAGCCACAGCCGAGATTTTTGATGATTCATGCTGCAACGGCACCCTACGCAAGCCAGTGGCACCCCACATTCAAGAGGATAGCAGCACCCAGAGATACAGCGCTGACCCCACTGTGTTTGCCCTGGAACGGAGCCCACGAGGAGAGCTGGATGAAGAAGGTTACATGACCCCCATGCGAAATAAACCTAAACAAGGTACAAACAGAATGTTCAGAAATGACTGCCATTCAAAATTCACTTCCATCAAAATAAGCAAAGTATAGAAGGGAAATCGCCAAACCACTGGACTGGGGAGCATCTGTGACCCAGAAAAGGCCCAAGGCGCTGTTCTATGTAGTATGCTATCCAAGTCGACAGCATTATATCCAGCATTATATCATCCAGAATTACATTCTGATATTTTAGAAATCAAAATCTCAGGCACCACCTGAATAGGAATCTGCATTTTAACAAGATTCCTACACAACCTTTATGCATAGCTTGAGAAGCACTGATCTCTGTATTGAAATACTTGAGTCGGGTAACATACTACAAGATTTCAAAACCATTACTTTATTGGACTCATTGTGGAGTTCAGAAAGACTGATATTTTGATGGCATCGATAAAAGATTTGGTCAATTCTTTAAAATTTTGTGTCATCAGAATGGCTTTGTTTATTATAGGATATTATGATTCCTTGTGTGACCACATTTCAAACCTTAAAGTTGTGACACTGCGTTGACTTATATGTATACCATCATGTCTTAAAAATATTCAGTTTGTGGTTCCACAAAGCAGCAATAACTTTACAAAGTTGGTAGTAGAAATGTTAGACATACAAATCAAATGACATTTCATTTTTGAAAAAGCCACTTTCCTTCCATGTTAACAGCATCACAAAAAGGAGAAGATGGATGATTGTTATTAAGAACTGATTATTGTGTCTTAGAGTCTTCAATGTCAAGCAAACTTTAAGATTCTCTATGAGGGTCCATCATGTTCCTGTTTATATGGTTACATTCACCTTTATAAAATGCAACTAAGGATCCCTAAGTTCAAATTATAAATAACCTATTAAAGTTTATCTATCTATATGTATGTAATGACATAACTGTATTGAAGAATTGGATGATTTGGAAGAATTGGAAAGCAGCCTAGTAGTGACACAAATGTAGATTTTGAGAAAACTTGGCAAATTCCCCTACAAGTAGAATGCTCTCTGGGAAGATTCTCAGCTCAATCATAGAGTTGCTTCTTCATTTGTAGCTGCAGGACTATGCAAGTTTGCATCAGGACATAGATAAGTAGATTGCCTTGGGGAAAGTAACATGACCTTTCTAAGAAAAACACAAGCCAGCCAAAATAGACTCACTGTAGAGCCTTTCTACATTTCTGTCTCTGAATACAAGTTTCCATAAAAGATTTTTGGGCTCTAGTCTACTTCTCAGAGAGTAGAGAATTTTAGTATAGATACTCCTCTACTTTTAGTCAAGAGGTTTCAGGACTCTGGTAAGGAAAATCAAATTCTGCCTCCCTTGTAAGTTTTACATACATTTTTCTTTTTTTTTTTTTTCTTTTCTTTCTTTCATAGTTTATTGGCAAGTTGGCTTCCATATAACAGCCAGTGCTCATCCCAACAAGTGCCCTCCTCCATGCCCATCACCCCCCTTCCCCTCTCCCCCACCCCCATCAGCCCTCAGTTTTTTCTCAGTATTCAAGACAGATACCATATGTTTTCACTTATAAGTGGATTAGGAGAAACTTAACAGAGGACCATGGGGGAGGAGAATGGGAAAAATAGTTGGGAAGAGGGAGGGAGGCAAACCGTGAGAGACTCGAATACATACATTTTTCTTAAAATGACAGTTGCTTTGAGAACCATTCAAAGTCCAACATGTTATGAAGTGAGAAGTTCTCCCTACTTCTTTAGGGACAGTAATAAAAAAAGTTCAGTAGAACAAGAAGATTGCTCAATAGGAATTTTAGATCTGAATTCTAGTTCAATACTAGTTGTATTCTTCATACATCATTTAATCTAAGTCTTCTGTTTATAAAGTTGAAAAAATACAGCTCGTCCTTCCTCACTCACAGTATTGTTGTGAGGATGATGTTAGTTCCTGTAATTCCTGTATATTATTGTGGATTAGTCATTAATGTGTTTTAACTTGCACAGGATGATAAATACTTAACCATATCCAGCAGTCCTGTATCCAGGGAAAAGTAACCCTGAGTTGATGAGGGATTTGCTTTTGTTTTTTTTCTCCCTCTACTTGTCAGGCTAAGTATCGAGGGTAGATAGTTTGTTTCAGAATGGTGACATGTTAACAATTGTGCCCTTTCCCTGGCCCAACATCAAGATAGGAATAGCTAAAGTGTCATTTCTGTGTATACACTAAAAGAGAACAAAAAGAGGGTCTCCTGTATGTATATGTCTATACCATACACATAGAGATGGGATTAAATTTAAGGAGAACAGCATTGGTTAACAACTTTTTTAAAAATTCTGGATCAATTCCTATTCCATATTGATTTGTTAGATGGAATCATACAAAATAGCCATTCTATATCTGGTTTCCACCTATAAAACAGTCGTTTCATATGATTCAAACTAATAGCTAGCTACTTTGTGATTACAGTCAGCCATTGGAAGTAAATGCTGTAATTATACTTTATTCTTAAGCATATGTATTGTCAAGCAAGTCAATTTAGTGATGTTAGATGTCCATCAGATATTTTTATCAGTCAAGTCTTTTCCTTAGATGTTTCTTTTCCTATAGAAACATCTTTTCCTATATAGCGTTCTTTTCATATAGAAACATTCTTTTCCTATATAGCGTTCTATGAAACATCTGTAATCAAATCTATTTTACCTATATGAGCATCACAGCAAACCACACAGACTAAAAACTGCTATTCCTTCACTTCATCCATTCATCTTAAGCTATTGACATTTTGTTGTTTCGATACCCTTTGAAAATTCCAATTTCTTCACATTTAAAAGCTTTTTAACCCTGATAGATTATTTTATTTTCCAACAGAAAGAATTTTGACTTTTAGAAAACAGAAGTGTTTAAACAAGTGGCCTCATGTACAGGAGATAAAAATACAATTAGGAGGAAAAAGGAACAATTTAGGGGACAGGAACTCTGCTTCTGGCCTGTGGTGCCTTGTTTAGTCATTAAGAGTTTTGGCCCACCCACTCTTTTTTTCATATGACAAAAGTAATCAACCAAGCAATCAACACAAGTAATCAACAAAATAGTTTTTGTGAGAATTCATGAAAACAAATCTGTGGCTTTATTGTTCTAAAACAGGAAGCTAACCATACTGTATAAACATTTTCCAGAAAGTGGATGTTAACTGATATTTTTGTATCCCATCAGAATACCTGAACCCTGTGGAAGAGAACCCTTTTGTTTCTCGGAGAAAAAATGGAGACCTTCAAGCTTTGGATAATCCTGAATATCACAATGCTTCCAAAGGTCCACCCAAGGCAGAGGATGAGTATGTGAATGAGCCACTGTACCTCAACACCTTTGCCAACGCATTGGGGAATGCCGGGTACCTGAAGAACAATGTACTGTCTGTGCCAGAGAAGGCCAAGAAAGCATTCGACAACCCTGACTACTGGAACCACAGCCTGCCACCCCGGAGCACCCTTCAACACCCAGACTACCTGCAGGAGTACAGCACAAAATATTTTTATAAACAAAATGGACGGATCCGGCCTATTGTGGCAGAGAATCCTGAATACCTCTCTGAGTTCTCGCTGAAGCCAGGCACCGTGCTGCCTCCTCCACCCTACAGACACCGAAATACTGTGGTGTAAGCTCAGCAGTGGCTTTAAGATAGAGACATGCCCGCTCCAATTTCCCTGCCACCTCTCTTTCTCTTATGGTCTTCCTTCTATTCCCAAGGCCAGTAGTTTTGCCACTTCTCAGTGGAAGATATAGAGATACAATGATAGTCATGTGCTCATCTAACTTGAACATTAGAAGGAAGAACTGAAAGAGAAAGATAGGAGGAACCACACTGTTTCTTCATTTCTCTGCATGGGTTGGTCAGGAGACTGGGACAGCTAGGGAAGGACCAGCAAATATAAGGCAATACTGCCTGCTGTCAAGCTAATTCTCAACTTTTTCTCTTTTCTCTTTCCTACTTCCTTCCTTCCTCCCTCCCTCCCTCCCTCCCTCCCTTCCTTCCTTCCTTTTGTTTCATTTCTTTTCTTTCTTTTTCTTTTAATGTAGATGTTTGAAAGACCCATGCTATCTGTTCCTATCTGCAGGAACTGATGTGTACATTATCAGTATCCTTGGAAATCTTAATAAAGTTTCCATTAGAACAAAAGGATAAACTTTTCTATAACATATAATAGTAACAGAGATTGAAAATCTAGTTTCTTTCTCCAACACTTTCTATTCTGACAAGCAAGAATGGCCAACTCAGCTTTCATAATTTTTAGATCTCTCTCAAAGTTATAACTAGTAAGTATGTTTGGAGGGTTTTGTTTTGTTTTGTTTTGTTTTGTTCTGTCCTTTTAGATTACTTTTACCCTTATATTTTGACTTTAATTTCTAATTGCAAATATTTTTACATCAATGCTTCTCATGTGTTGCTATAAATTGACAGGATTGTAAAAAAAATAATTTAATATGGTGGAATGGCCATTATTTTAAATATATAACCTTTGAAATTAAAAGGGGAGGCCAAGATATTAGTCAAATGTAACATGAGATCTATTGAATATGTACCCCCTACATTCTCTACATTCTTCAACATTTTCTTCTCCATAAATGACAGTACTCAATAGGCAGTTGGTAATATAAAGAGTAAAAGGGAAACTAAGAGACGGTTCTGTGTGGTTCATGAAAACTACTGACACTTTCAGGGGTGGTCCAATGGAGAATCCATTGAACTGGAAGAGACACACTGGATTGGATATGTCTACTTGGCAGATACTCAGAAATGTAGTTTGCACTTAAGCTATAATTTTATTTGTTCTCTTTTGAACTCCATTTTGGATTTTGAATGAAGCAATATGGAAGCAACCAGCAAAATAACTAATTTAAGTACATTTTTAAAAGAGCTAAGATAAGGAAGACTGTGGAAATGCCAAACCAAGCAAATTAGGACTTTGGAACAGTCTCAAGAGAATATGGTGAGAGGGCCAGCACATTATCTACAAGTGATATCATATTTGCTACGCAAGGAAAGTTATCCACATGAAGGAATGCAAGTAAAGATTGGCTTGATTCCATGGAATTTCTAGTATGAGACTCTATTTATATTAAGTAGAAGGTAACTCTTTGCACATAAATTGGTATAATAAAAAGAAATACACAAACATTTGAAGTTTATAGATAGGTTATTGGGTCAAAAGTTGTAAATAAAGGTGAAAATTTTCTCATGTAATTATTTTAATATCCAACATACTAATCTTTTGATACTTTGTATAAGAACACTCTCTTCAAACACATCATTCTACTTCTAGAACCATCTTTTTATGTATCTTTTTAAAAGAATACCTACTGAGTTAAGATGAGCAATGGGAACAAATAGTAGGAATGAGTCTCTAGGAACAAGAGGCCTAATAAGGTCAACAGTTAGGAAAATTGGGTAGTCTCTCTTTTCAAGGAAAACCTGCATGGGCAGTCATTTGGATTAAGTTTTCTTCCAACGTTAAAATTTGGGGATCAAATTCAAGTCTATTACCAAAAAGAAAGCAACAAGACTAAAAATCTCCGTTGGTGAAACACGGAGTTTAAAGAGAGAAAAAAATGGAAAGAGATTTAGTTTTCTGCCTGTTTTGAAAAAGCAAATCAATCCATCCATTCAACTCCCTTATTTTTTCAACTGATATTTACTTAGAGTCTCCTAAGTGTAAATGGGGAAAATCAACATAAATGCAACATTATCCCTAACTTAATTATTTTAAGTCTGTATTTATTTGGAATGACATTTGAATTTTTCCATAAGTTCAAGGAATAAGATTTTGTGGACTATTTTGTGAGTAGTCATCATAAAATCAGTTGTTTGTTAGAAGATCTCCCATGAATCCATTTGAAACATGAATTAAACAACCTACAAGTTAATGAAGTTGACCAATAGGACAGTTTCAGTGTCATCATTCAAACACAGACTGGTCTAGAAATATATTGCCTTACTGGCTAATTGGCCTATCTGGATTCTCAGTCAACAGCAGGTGTTTGGTTTTTGGCCAAGAACTTTAGAGGTGTTGGCGCTGGTTTCTTACTAAGTTATAAGAAATAAGGTAAGCTAAAAAAGTGAAATAGCACAAGGAAGAGATTTGTAACATCCTTTCCAGTGATGTTCAACCATGAACTTTTCAGGGCTGAAGACACGAAATGAATTAGGGGCTAAAGCCCAACATCTTCAAACTTTCCCACTCATTTAGAGAAGTCTCCAGAGAAAGGGGACCTTACATCAGTTCTTATGAAAATTTGGAAATAAACCTCCCTTTCTAGATAAATCTATACCAATTTACCACTGACAGCATACGTGTTAGATAGTAGAAGTTGATTTTTTTCTTCTGATTTACTATCTTCATATGATTTCTACTCGAATATGGAAAACAGGATCACTTATTTTAAGAAGGAAAGAAAAATAAACGTTTTACTATGAAGGAAATAGAATGTATTCAATGATGTAGTCTCCATTCTGAGAACACAAAACATCACATAATCTACCCGTAATAACTAGAGATAGACTCAAGTATAATCTAAGATGACCCAAAATGCTTCACAAAAACTTTATTGTTTCTTTTCAATGATTTCTGTAGTACATCTTTGATTTCAGTTGTCTTAGGATTTCTCTATTGTTTTATTATTGTCCCCTAGAAAATCATATTTCAGAGTGAATAAACAGAAGAAAAAATGAGTTTTATCTGTTCCAAAAAATAACTTATTCAACGCAATAGAATGAAATTTTAAAATGCCAGTTGAAGCCCGCATGCAAAGAGCATCAGGATATCAAATCCCAGAGGCTGATTGTATCAATGCAAATATACAGAACCAATTAAGTAAATTAGTGGGAAATTAGTAATAAAATTACACAGACTATATTTTTGTAGCTTATACTTATCTTGGGGAATCCTTTTTACATATAAGGAAACACTGTACAACTAAATGATTGTTTAAAGAACCATTCTTTAGTTCTTAGATGAGAAAAGATGTTCTCTAGACTAGACCCAGAACCAAAAAGCATCCTGTTTGTAAAGAGGTGCTTGAACTGCCAAGTAGCATTTGGTTTCCAAATTTTAGTGGCACGGGTTAGGATGAAGATTCTTTCTCAAGAAATATTCTTGAAAGAGAATAAAAACAATACAAGCTGACATCATATTAAAATGTACAAACTAAAAACAAGAGATTCTTCCTTAGTAGATCAGGAAGAATGACTGAACATTTGTATGTTGAGATGCAGAAAAGAAGAGACTGTGTTCTAAGTGTTACAATGTACGTATCAATACCTTCTAAAAGCAGGATGTGACATGAAGATCATGCATATTCCCAATGCCGAGGACAAACCAGTAGAAGGACTAGGAGGTTCTGCTGCTAGATGAAGTCAGAGGGGCTATCAATGTGCCCCTCACTTTTTGAAGTGTCAAAGTGAAAAAAAAATAAGATTGTTTTAGCCCGACAGGGAAGGATGTAAATACATGTTTTCTAGAACTATCTAACCTTTCTTTCAAAACTTGAATTATTCATCCATCTATAAATGTTGATTATTTAACTAGTATGTAGTTCATAAGGTAATAGAAAAGGTGACCATGAGAGCATGTATATAACTGGGCAAAACCATGATAATGCTGTAAGATGTAGATTTAGTTAGGTTATCAGATATTAAATGATTTTAATATTATTAAATAAATCAAACTAGAAAACTAACAACAGAATATTATGTAACAAAATAAAATGCAGGATATGAAAATGTAGGATGGATTTTGCATAGTATAAGATAAGTTTGCCATTTAAAATTGTTATTTGTTAGGTTTAGCTGAAAGTAGGCATATAAAAAGAGCTGGTTCCACTTGTGAAAACTTGATTTAAAGCATCACAATTAAATCTTTTTTTCTCGTTCTCTTATTCTTGTACCATTTTCATTGTATTAAGTGTAAGAGAAAAAAATTTAATTTGTTTTGCAAACACCACCTTGCAGAGTTTAACAGGCAAATACGCTATGTGACTTTAAGTAGGAGATCTTGAAAATGAAGTAAAGGAAATGTAAATGTTCTATTACCTTATGTGGAGACAAACATTGAGTGGGGCCATTTAGCAAACAAACAAAATACATTTAATTTGTGAAATGTCCATGTTCCCCATGATATTCTCCCATTTTCTAAAAACAAAAAGAGGCAATTCTTTGACAATTTTCTGATAAATAGTGCTAAACTAAGCATTTCAAACTGCTCTATTTCCATTATTTTGGACTCTAGTTACTAGACTGATTATTTTTAATACTGCAGATGAGAAGTCCAGGTGTATAAAATTCTAGTTGTGAGAAATCCAGATAAACTAACTTCTACTTATGGATATGCTATAGGCAGGAAAATTCTGCTGTGCTTCTAATTGTGTATAGGGACTTTGAAGGGCAGCTTTGTGCCCACATAGACACTGAAGGCAGACTCATGTGTCCTGATTGCCATTTGCTTAAGAATGAATGACATTATATGGTTGTATGTTAGGTGTGACTTTAAAATAACAGTTATTATTGGAGACCTTGATTTTACTGATATTACAGTGGAGACAGCTTTTATACTTCTGGGTAGAATGAATACAATTTTTGTAATCCCAGAGATGCCTTTGCAAGAGGAGTTCTCTCCATACTTGTCAGCATGAAGATGTTGTGGGCACA